ATTACTACAGTGGTACCTCGGGTTAAGTACTTAATTCGTTCCGGAGGTCCGTACTTAACCTGAAACTGTTCTTAACCTGAAGCACCACTTTACCTAATGGGGCCTCCTGCTGCTGCTGCTGCGCTGCCAGAGCACAATTTCTGTTCTCATCCTGAAGCAGTATTTCTGGGTTAGCGGAGGCTGTAACCTGAAGCGTATATAACCTGAAGCGTATGTAACCCGAGGTACCACTGTATATATTATGTGGTGTCAGGGAACTTGACACCAGTCAGCTCTTTTCAGCACCTGCCCTGTGCTTTGAGTAGTGTCTGTTTCTTTCCTCAGGAATGTTTATTCTGTTTTATAGTCTGCTGGGAACAAAATACACGTGCCTTGTAACAGTTGGAATTGTTGCATTACATGTTCAGATTCTTGCAGTTGTTGGCAGAATGCTTGGAGGTGGGAGCCTAATCCTTCCATGGGTAGTTCACCATAAAAGGTTCCTCTCTCTCTCTCTCTCTCTCTCTCTTTCTCCCCTACCCTCCAATATGTCGTCATCCTACAATCAGAGATCATGGCAGTACTTGCATTAATGAAACCTCCTTTGCAAGCAGCCTCCCAAATCTTAGTTTCATTGAAGGCTCAAATGTGAATCATTTAAACCTGACACTTAAGAAATTTCTAAGGATCCCAGTCCCCTGGAATTCATGGAAGATTTAGTTTACTGTCAATAAGTGTAAAAGCCAGTTGTGAAGATTGTTGAATCTGTATCACTGATTGAGTGACACAGGTAGAATAGGATTTAAATAGTACTTTAATTTAAAGCATTTAAAGTATGAAAAGAATAATTCTAGTAGATGTTTCTCAGTACTTTCTGAGTGTCTAAGCAGATAATTAGAGTGCATTCTATTGATAGAGAAAAGGTACAGTATATTTAAAAGCCTTCTTGATGATACTAAGGAACAAAATTGAGAATAAAACTTTATATTGAGGTCCCACTCCAGCCTTGGTGTGTGTGCATCGATTTGTACAGGTTCGTGTTAATAGACTATTAAACACACACAATTAATTTTAAGGAAAGATTGAAAATAAATGTGATGTTTATCATATTGTGTTGCCATGTCAACATTACTTTATAGGGGGGGAAATGGAAATTCTTAACTTGAATTTCTATTCCCAGCAGCTGCTAGAAGGCAGTCATTGTACTTGGGATGGCTCCTCTCACTGGTTGTGCAGGCAGGACCCCCTTGTTTCAGATGATCTCACCTGGTGGGAAGGTCTTTCCCACCCTCCAGACCAGCTGGTGGAGCAAGGACTACCCTTCAACCTCAACAAAGACCCCATTACTGTAGCAGGGCTTTATGATTGACAGCCCACCATTCTGACAGGGCAAGAGGCTTTAGAAATAGAGAAGCACCTAAGCAGTGAATGAAGACAACAGCAATAAACACATTATCAATAGAAGAACAACAGTAAAGTGTGCTAGGAAATCCCCAGGAGGCCCTGACTGCTACCTCATATGTATGGTGTTGTTGTCAGACGCCACTTGTACAAACATGACCAGGAGCCAGAAGGAAGAGTTAGGGTGCTAATCTCCAGGAACCTCTTGGAATAGAATTTCACTATTAAGGAGAGACCAAAGGAAAGACTACTTCATACAACACATAATCAGCTTTGGAATTCATTCATACAAGGTGTGTTGATGACCACTAACTTTATGTTTTTAAAGAGAATTACTCATCCATCGAGGACACTTCTGTTAGCCCACATAGCTACATTGAGCCACTCATGTTCAGACACATCTGACTACCAGAAGCTGAAGATAGGCAAGGAAATGGTTGTTCACTTCATGCTCTGTGAACTTCCCAGACACATCTGACTAGCCAGAATACCAGAGTATCCACTTTTGATGGAAGCTCTATGTTACTCTGGATCTTTCCCTTCTAATAAGGGAATACAGAGTAATGGCCTTATGAATCCACTTGTGAAAACTAGGTTACTTCAAATAAAGGGCAAGTAGGTTAGTGAATTATTTTTGGACATGGACTGTGTACTTGTCAGAGCTTGTTTAAATTAATTGAAGCTGTCTGGCTTGCACCGGAATGCAAATTTATGGAATGATTTTCAACAGCAGAGTTGCTGAGCCTTTAATATGGTTAATTCTCCAGTGAGTTGTTGTATTATTCTACATCATTCTCCATTATAATTGTCTCTAATATTCTACAAAGGATACATTTCCTTACCCCAGGCATTCTGTCCTAAGTGCAGTAAGCCCAAATCGTATCTACCTGGATGGTTTTAAAAGAGGATTGGACGAACTGATAGAGGATAAGACTATTAATGACTACTAGCTATGATGGTATGTTCTACACCAGCTGTCAGAGGCACTGTGCCTCTGAATATCAGCTTCTAGGAATTGAAAGAGTACAGGCAGCGACTGATCTATGCTTGTCCAGTATGTTTGCGACTGCGTATGCACTCATCGGCCCAAACCTAGAAGTGACCTAAAAGCGTCACAAAAGGGGCAGCACAGAGCAGCCTTACACGGGCTTCACCCATGCGTGTGGGGGTCTGGAATGTGGCTCCCATGCAAATCTGTCGCTGCCTGTACAGTACTATTGTGCTCAGGTCCTGCCTGAAGCCTTTGCATGATATTGGGCTAGGTGAAGCCTTTGGCCTGATCCAGTAGGTTCTACTCATGTTCATTCTGCCCTTCCTCCCCAAACCTGGTTCCATTCCAATACCCTCCATGCTCTTCCAAGCAGCATTGGATAGCATCATAAGCTGCAAGTGCATTTGAATCCTGATTTTGTTCATTATTGGTTTCATAAAAACATAAGAACATTTGCTTGATCATACTGCAGTTCCATCCGTTCCAGCTGTATGGGATGTAGGTCCAGTAGTGGCTGACCACATCCCCCTTGGAAGCACATAACCAGGGCTTGATAGCATGGTAATCCTCTGTTGTTTCTTCCCAGTCTCTGGTTACCCAATAGTGACACTAAGTATGGAGCCCAGACATAGCTATCATGACTAACAGCTATTGATAGTCCTCTGCTGTATGATCTGGAGCATGCTCATTTAAGTGCCGGAGGTTTGATGAGTGTGATTCAACCACCAACATAATACCTTACTTTAAAAAAAAATCTCGGGGGAATAGCACCACTGGTAATTATCCTCGCCTCTCTTGGAATAGTTTTATTTCCACTGCTGAAAGTGGAAAATAATGATCCCAGGGCTGTCCACATAAGCAGCAGGGAAAAGATAACACCTGTCCTTTCCCCCTTTCTCCCAGTGGCACATTGATATATCACCTTTTTATAAGTACTTTTCACAGCGAGGCCCTGATGGGTAATTTGTGTGTGTGATCAGACAAATCAGAAAGGCAAGGTAGACTGGGGTGTGTTCTTTGACCGTAAAGATTCTAGGTGACAGGAAAATAACACTTCCTTAGAATACACATAAAATTATCCCAGAACAAACAATAGCCCTTTACAGTGCCCAGGAATGCTGAACTTGCCCATGGCATGCGTTCTTGGCAGCTGCCATTGATGCCAGCTGGGCTTTGGCATAGCTCCTTTCTGGAAATAGCAAAGAGGGACTCGGCGTTTATTTAGAATGTATTTCTCTCACCATTAGATAACCATAATTGCTATCTATCTCTTCGAGGGAGGTAAGGCAAGGAGACTGAAGTGTACAACCGATGGGGACTTTTTAGACAGACTGAAGTCCTAGCACCTGAGTATTAAGGGCTAAAGGGATCTTGGAAGACAAGTGGTGGTGGAGGAGGATGAGTGAAATGCAGAAGAAAAAGGGATGGAGTTGGGGGAGGTTTTAAAAAGGAGCTTAAAGGAGAGGAGCTCCAGGCTATTGTGGAGAGTGGAAGAATAACTACCAAGTGGGTCGTTGGGGGCCAAATGACATTAGATGATGGAAAAGTGAATTGATGCGCATGTTAGTTGGAAGGACGTCTAAGGAAGAAAGATGGTGCTGTTTGGATATGAGGAAACTGGAATGTGATTAAGCCAATGTGGGCCTTCAGGGAAAGAGAAGGAAGGGAAAGAAACAAAAAAGAACATTCAGTTTTGTTCAAGGTCAAAGCAGTTTTCCTCTTTTGTCCTGAACTTACCAATCCTTAGTGTTGGTTGGTAAAGCCTGAAAAGGAGAGAAAGGAAAACTCCCTGACAAAATTCATATATAGGATCCCCTAGTCCTTCTGGCTTGCTTGCAAGAGGAAAAGAAACTGGTCAGCTGGCTAACTTCCCATTCAACAGCAGCCTGACAGGTGACATCTATCCTGATTCAACATTTCTACTAAGACAGTGTTTATTGCACTCCCTGTCCTTGGTTACTTGCGGGAAGATTGGAAGCTGCCTTATACCAAGTCAGACTATCTGACACAGTATTGTTGACACTGACTGCCAGGGTTTCAGGCAGGAAGTATTTCCCAGGGAGAGTCCAGGGATTGACAAACAACCAGATTGAAAATGAAAGTTCTAAAGCTTTATTTGCTAAACACATGTTTCCATAGCAAGGTGTTCTCTCCCTCGTGGAGATTGACTCTGGGGAAAAGGGGAGATAGGAGTGAAGATATTGCCCTACCTTGTAAGGTAAAGGTAAAGGGACCCCTGACCATTAGGTCTAGTCGTGGCCGACTCCGGGGTTGTGGCGCTCACCTCGCTTTATTGGCCGAGGGAGCCGCCATACAGCTTTTGGGTCATGTGGCCAGCATGACTAAGCCGCTTCTGGCGAACCAGAGCAGTGCACGGAAACACCCTTTACCTTCCCACCGGAGTGGTACCTATTTATCTACTTGCACTTTGACGTGCTTTCGAACTGCTAGGTTGGCAGGAGCAGGGACCAAGCAACGGGAGCTCACCCCATCGTGGGGATTCGAACCGCCAACCTTCTGATCGGCAAGTCCTAGGCTCTGTGGTTTAACCCACAGCGCCACCCGCGTCCCTGCCCTACCTTGTACACTAGTCCTAAATTCATACACACAAAAGATGGGGTATACTCACACCCATCCACCTGTCAACGGCCTGGGCTAAGAATCCTGTAACAAACAAAAAGAGGGAAAAGGTGAGTGCTGCAGACACATGTTGCCTCTTCAGATTATGCTGTGATAGTCTTCTCCAAATTGGTGCCTTCAGATTGGCATTGAGACAGTCCTGCCTTTATATAAGCATGGAAAACGCAAGTCCATCCCACAGGATCTAAAATGCCATTGGGTTGAAAAAGTAGCATTACCTTTGTCAAAATCCATTGCTATAATCATTATTGTCTCGATATTTGTTCTTTTGATGTGCATGGAAACTTCCATTTATGTAGGTTCAAAGTTAGCAGCTAAGCCCAAATCAGTCCTTGCTCATCTGCTTGGCCAAACCTGCTCATTTTGCTTATTAGCCTTTGCTTAGGAAGAAAACCATTCGTTCCACTCTCGCACACAAATGTTTCAGTATGGTTGTCATGCAGTTGCTAAGGCTTGAACTATTTCTTATCATCAGGGTCAGCATACACTGCTCTGCACAGCTCATAACTTAAGTTTTTAATCCAACTGGGTTTATAATACAGCTTACTTAACAATTAAAAATAGGAGGATAGAATACATGCTTTAAAAAGTATTCTATCTGAATATAACATAAGCATAAATGTCTTTGATAAACATTTAAAAAGGTAAAGGGACCCCTGGCAGTTAAGTCCAGTCGTGAACGACTCTGGGGTTGCGGTGCTCATCTTGCTTTTACAGGCTGAGGGAATGATAAACATTTACTTCATTTTAATTGTGGCAAGCCCAGCGACACAAGGATCCTTGAGGCAACAGGGTCATTGCTTGTGGCGTGATCTTCACTCCCAGCCATTTTGTTTTGTTTTGTTTTGTTTTTAGTATAGCTTTTACTTTTCTTCTCTTTTGACAACCACACTGATATGTGCCCTCAGAGCTGTTCCTCCTTGCACTGTGTTGGCAAAAGCATGTACTGCTTGCTGTGAAGGCACACTCTTGAAACTGACAGCTCCTCCAGGACCTTACAAAGTGTTGTAGTGGGTCTGAAGCTTTGGGATCAACCTTCACTTTAAGACTGCTCCAAGGACATCCACACACCTCCAAATGGGGCAGCTTTGGTTTGGTATTTGTGCTTCTTCCAAAGTGGATGCACACCAGTTTTTCACGGGCATTGTGAAGATAGGTTTTTACTAACACAGAAAATGAGGAGGCAAGAAAGTATCTGAAGTTTGATCTGCTGCTACTGTATTATTCTTATTTTTATATTTGTCAGAGCAGCAGGCAGAGGTGCAATGAAGTCCCCAAACTGTGCAAAACCAGAGAATCTGTTGATGAGTCTGCAAAGAAGCATTTAGGCAACCTGTTAAGCTTGTGTTCTCTAGGACAAAGCTCTTAGCCACTTTCAAAAGGACCTTTATGACCCTGCCTTTTAATTTTTCGTAGCTCCACATTGGTTTCTGTTGTTACAGTGATTGTGGAAAACTTTCATCTACTCTTTAAAGTAACCCTGTCATATCCCAGGGGTGCTAGCATAATAAGGTAACTGAACTTAAACATTCACAACTGAGGTGGGAAAGTCATGTGCTGATGATGGCAGTGCTCGCAGCAGCTTCACATAAAAACATCAGAACTCTGTAACACACCAGTGTTTTAAAAGGCACTGACAAAGTTTAGGTACCTGCCTAAAATATGGCCTCTGCTGTTTGCGGATTATGTTTGTTTACCTGGAAATATGCACAGTTCTCTTCATAGACTGATTATGTGCACATTATCCAGGAGCTGTGGTGAATATGCACAATAACTAGTTGTTATGTACTGCTCATCTTAAATTACCCCCAACGTATATATAAAATGTCCTTGGTAAATCATGGCCTTTAATTAGTCTTCTGTGTGCACTGTTTGATTAATTTAAAATCTTTTAAATGATTTCCTTGGGCTTCATATCCTTCCCCAGGGTCACTAGAATTGAAAACCCCAGATGGGAGCGGGAATATATTTCAACTCTTAGTGCACATAGTTGTCTATGCAGACACACAGGAACAAAATGCCAATGTACCCCTTCCCTTCCACCTGATAGCTGCCTCCTCAAGTGACAATTGTTGCTAATTGCATTGTAATAAGCGCAAATCAAGTGCATTGTGAGAGAAAACATTCTATTAAATGACTTCATTTAAAAAGGAAACTGGATTGCTAATACTCTGCTTCAGAAGGCACTGGGGAAAAATATTACTGGATAAACCTCAACATATAGCAAGGTGGACAAGAGTCATTTGCCATTTATTGAGGGGGGGGATGTGGTGTTGGTTCAGAATGTTGTGATAACATGGAAATGTGGCTATCTCATCAGCATTTTGTACATTTCAATGCTCAATATGCACATTTTGTGGTCAATACTGTGTCTATTTCGAGTGTTTCTCTGGTCAATATGCATAGGCCTTCATGAAACACTGGAGACTGTTCACACTTCAGCATAATCTTTCTCTTAACTCATGCAAGAAGGATAGTTTCTAACTTGAGAGAATGTGCAGAACGCAGCAATTTATGAAGGAGATTTGTATACTGATGGTTCAGTAAACTTTGTAAGTGATGGTGGGCAGTGTTCATAAATACCTGGTAATTGTAGATTCATCTGAAGGACTGTGTGTGTGTGTGTGTGTGTGTGTGTGTGTGTTATTAGATAGATATAACAATAGATCTAGCTATTAGGGAACTGTGCCTGGTAAACTGGAACAGTTGGCGTATGTGTGCCCTTCCTGGCATCCTCAGTCATATGCAGTTCAACTTTTGTCTTTACCTTCTCCAGCCAGTGCTACCAGCTGATACTCCCCCTGTGTGCCAACTTACTAGGGATCAGTTCTCATCTGAGCTTGGTTGCTATGGTTACATGCAATCTGCTGTGTTCTGGGTCTCCAGGAGCTAGGAATGATTTGGGGGGTGGGGTGGGGGGTTGGACTTCGTAGCCTTTAGGTAAGCACCACCATTCCCTTATATGGAGCTTACTTCCCCTTACGCCGTTTGAAACACTGATTGGGCAGAAAACCCACTCCTCTTGTGCAGCGGTTTACGGGCTGCTTTAGTTGGCGAAACACATCCAGGACTTGGACTACCATCATAGCCTCTGCCTTTTTGTTCACTTGTGCTGATTTGAAGGCAGAACCGGACACACTTTTTAAGCCTCTTCCACCAGTTATTTTGGGAACAAAGGTTCACATACGAGCCTTCGCTGCCAAGGCTGGGACAGTGGGGTTTTACTACTGAGCTGTGTGACCTTGTGTCTCAGTTAACGAATCTGAAAATTGAGAATGAGCATGTATGTGAGCCATTCATGCCTCTTCCCCCCCCCCAACCCCCCACCCCCAAACTTGAATTGAGACACAAGTTCTAAATCTGCAAACCTATGCACAAATTACCTGGGAGTTAATTATAATGATTAGGTTTTTAAAAATAATAATAATAGCATTTAACATATATTGCCCTGGTAATCCTAGTTGTAGGTGTGGAGCTGGCAGAGAGAAGCTTGCCTTAAGGAGAGGCAAGATCTGAATGGGGGATTTCTTGATTCCCAGTACCATATCATAGCTACCAAGTGCTTCTGTGTATAAATGCACAGGGTTGCCCAGTAAATCCCACTTGTAGGTGAAGCTAGTGTCTGCAGACCATCCGGTGAAAAAGCAGCATCTTTTTTTAACATGCTTGTCTTTCTGAAGATGTTTTGCAATCCATTTAGCCCCCACCCCAATTTTCTTTCCGAAGCAGCGGCTACCTGGCAGGCTCGTCTCCTTCAGGGCAGTCTTTTATTTGTGCCGTCTTAATTTTATTGCACCCAGCTTAATGCACTTTGACATGGTATGGCTGGAATACAAGTGTTGCCTGTCTGCAGTCAGAAATGAATTGCTTTTTTGCTTGGCCTTTTGCCATCTCTTCCGCTCTTTGAAACGGATACCCTTGAGCCGCACTGGAGAATGCACCCCCCCCCGTGTGTGTGTGTGTGTGTGTCTGTGTGTATTGGGAAAGGATGGCGATATGTGCTGAGCAGCAGGGTAGTGAGTAGGGGTGGGGTTTCCACCCTTTTATATTTTGCAGCCAGTGACGTAGGCAGTGCCTGGAACAATCACGCTGCCTCAAAACAGTGTAGTTGAAGATGCTCTGTGTGTGTATGTGTGTGGTGGCTGGTAGTGGGGGACCAGCTTGGTGCATTTTTAAGCAAACACTGATTGCTGCAGCTCAGGCTCCACAGAGATTCCTCTCCTTCTAAACTACCTTGAAGAGAATTTGTGAAGTGTGGTTTATTTCTCCTCTGCTGCCCCCCGCTTCATATATATATAATATATATATATAGGAGAGAGAGAGAATATTTATTTACTTTGTGGAAATGATTGGAGTTAATAGTGTCCAGAGCACCAGCAAGGTCCGAGTGAGAGCTACAGGTTCGGTGAAATACCCGCGAGAGGACCCGGTCTGGCGGCAAACTCACCGCTCAAAGTCCATGAAAATTTCCAACTCCACGGAGTTTTCTGCTAAAGAAGCCAAGGTAAATGGATGCAACATTGCATATAAATCTCCACAACATTTCTGGCAGTCCTGAAAAGGGGACACTGCCCTTGAGTCTTTGGCTGATAGTGCCTTTTATTTCTTACAAAATACCGTGGGGAAGGAATAAGCCGGCAGGTGGGGGGGGGTGGAGGGACAAATCCCAGATTGAAGGTAGGTGCTGAATGGATTTGATAGACTTTCAGAGAATGTCTCTTCATGGAGCTGGGTCAGTGCTGCCAACTTGGTAGCGGATCCAATCCAGCCGGTGTTTTTCTCTTTGGCCATTTACCTGTGTTACATGGGGTGGTGGTGGAGCTGAAGGGGAAAGATCTACCTTGCAATTTCTAGACAGAAATGCTCTACATGCTGATTGCATTTCCCTTCTCCCTTAGTGCGTGTCTGTGTGGGTGGCTTGCATGATTCAGGTGATTTTTTTAAAATGCATGGCTAAATATTGCAATGAAATATTCATTATTACATTTCTCTCTGTGTTTGTGTGCATGGCATTTTTTAAAATAAAATTGTCATCTGTTTACTTGGTTTGTCACCGCAGACAGTACTGTATCCAGCTGGCTCCAGCCACCTGCTTTAGGAGCTGTTTGGAGTGCCTTTAACTTGTCGTACTGCTGATGTTGTTGTTGTTGTTTTAAAAGCAACATTGTGTAGCCTAGTCTGGGTATCTGCATGTGGGCATGATTGAGCACAAATTTAACCACTGCCCTCTCTGTCTCTTTCCTCCTGTTGCAACACATAATGGCAATGTTTTTCCACTAGCATGCAAGTCAGGAAGTACGGTAGCCTTTTATAAAGGAGCGTGGTAAAAAAATAAAATTTTAAAAAGCGTCCCCAGTAAATCTGCAGTATTGGAAGTCAGATGTAAATGCTGCTACTGTTATACCTGTATATGCTTGGGTGTTTATGCACACGTTTCATTTCCCTGTTCTTCTTCCCTCTTGCATCATGTTGCCTTCAGGGTGCTAGGTTCGAAATATCCATCTGCATGAGAACCTCACCAGTATGGGTGGGGAGGGTGGGCGGGCATGCCAAAATCATGTGGACTTAGCAAGGCTCTTTAAACTTGCTACCATCCTGTTGTGATTCTTCAAGGCAGACATTTAAGCTTTCTTGCCCCTTTGCAGGGAAGGGGCAGGACTGGAATCCTCAAGGTTGCACACACTTTTATAGAGGTTCGGTTTCATTCAGGTCCTCCCCACCCCCCAAAGGAATGCCATTGTGGGGTAAAACAATAGAACCTCTCAGTTGGTGTTCGCTTCCTGCGGCGAGATCTAGCTGGTTTGCAGCAAATGAACGATATAATGAAACCCTGCCTTTTTGCTGATAACCGTTGCCGAACGCATGAAGAGGTGTATACATAAATATAACATTGCTGAGCTGGTGTGCTACTAAGCATGCTATGATCATGATTAGTCACGAGGGGCATCCCCAGGGGAAGGGCCACAGCTCAGTGACCGTGCACATGCTTTTCATGCAAAAGGTCTCCAGTTAGATCCTTAGCTGGAGAAGGCACCTGTCTGAATGAAGGGCTTTGCTCGGGCAGCATAGACAACACTGAGCTAAGATCTGAGGCTATAAGGCAGCTTTCTCTGTTTCTTTTCCCCAATATAGTATCATAAAACAAGTGCCCTACCCCCTTTTCCTGTGAGCCTCTGGTAGCCTGAATTTACTAATTCTGAGTTCTCTACTGGTTGTAATCTAAAGCCAGTTCATACATGCTTATTCGTTTACCATATTACCACATGGTAAGCCATCAGAGTTTACTCAGCCTAAGTCGGCTCAATCATGATACTTTTGAACTGAGGCAGTTTGTAGACTTGACCAATAGTCACCATGTGATGGTTCATAGTGACCAAGAGGGTTGGGGAACACGTTAAAGATGAACAGCTATATTGTGGGAGAACTTTTAGTAGTCTTGAGAAGTAGTCTTCAACCTTTTTGGACCTGGGACTTACCTTTAACCCAGACATGCATTTGGGGACCCACGTCTTTTCTCTCTCTCTCTTTTGCCATATATTTATAGGACAGAAGTGCTGCTATTGTAGTGTAGTGGTTAAGAGCGGTGGGTGTAGTGGTTAAGAGCGGTGGACTCGTAATCTGGTGAACCGGGTTCGCGTCTCCGCTCCTCCACATGCAGTTGCTGGGTGACCTTGGGCTAGTCACACTTCTCTGAAGTCTCTCAGCCCCACTCACCTCACAGAGTGTTTGTTGTGGGGGAGGAAGGGAAAGGAGAATGTTAGCCGCTTTGAGACTCCTTCAGGTAGTGATAAAGCGGGATATCAAATCCAAACTACTACTACTACTACTACTTCTTCTTCTTCTTCTTCTTCTTCTTCTTCTTCTTCTTCTTCTTCTTCTATTGCAACCCGCATTGGATCCGGCAGTGATTTCATAGTGGGTCCCAGCCAGCCCACCACTCAAAGACCAATGCCCTAGAACAGGGGTCAGCAACCTTCTTCAGTCGTGGGCCGGTCCACCGTCCCTCAGACCATGTGGTGGGCTGGACTATATTTTTTTTGGGGGGGGGGAGGGAATGAATGAATTCCCATGCTCCACAAATAACCCAGAGATGCATTTTAAATAAAAGGACACATTCTACTTGTGTAAAAACACGCTGATTCCTGGACCGTCCATGGGCCGGATTGAGAAGGCGATTGGGCTGCATCCAGCCCCCGGGTCTGCCCTAGAACCTACTTTAGCCATAATGAGAAACAAGCGTTCAAGGAATGTAGATGTGCTTGTGTGAGCCAGGCCTTCAAAGAGTTTCTTTATGCATCTCAGTCCCCCAGCTGAATTTAGTGAAATCATTTGTGTGTGTGTGTGTGTGTGTGTTTATAGTAATCCCATTTGAGGGCTAGGTCTCATTTATGGAATTAATCTCTCTTTTGTTGTTGTTATTAACCCTATACAGAATATAATAAAAAATATTTGACATACAATAAAAAGGTAAAGCGTAAACATTGAATTAGGCACAGCACAAAGTAAAAAAAGCGATGGAGGGTCAGCCAGGAAAAGAGACAACAGAATGACCTTCAGCATATTCTTGTGAAAGTCATTTAACCACTGAGTGACTTAGTTTCTCTCCTGCCCCCACCCATGTGGTCCATTTATATCACTCTCCCTATTATTTCAGTGAGTAACTAGAATGTGGACAAACTGAATGGAGAGAGAGAGCAGGAGTAAATCCCTGAAGCTAATGGTGCAAGGAGATGCCTAATATATTCTGGGAAACCTTGTCTTAGGAGAGAGCCTCCACCAACTCTTCTCCAACCCTCCCAAAAGCTGTAGACTAAGTAAGGGCTGTGAATGAGTGGACTCTTGTTGCAGGCAAATGTTCATAACAAGTAGGAGAGCCCCAGATCTCAGTCGCTGGAGCTGGGAATTATCCTAATGCACCCTTCTCCCATATAAATTGATAGTGGCTGCCCAGTTTAGTGGGTGATCTAAAAGTGGGAGTACTGTTGTGATGAGGGCAAAGCCTGTCCACTCAAATACTCAGCAGTCCTGCAGAGGCATATGCTGACACATTGCAGTGTCCTTTGTGATGCTCCCTACGTACACAGACCAACCACCTATCCATTCTAATGAAGTGCATTTACTGGCTTATAGTGAGCGCTTAGCAAGCGGGGTAGTACTAGTTGAAGTTGTTGCTCCTCAGAAGGGTGGGAGGGACGGCAGGACCAGCCCTATCATGCCCCAGGTGAAGCACAATTCTTTGGGTTGCACCCTGAGGGAGCATATAGATGAGGGCAGGAAATGAAAGTCTGAATAGTATAGCAAGACTCTTTAAAGTGTTGGCCGTGCTGGGAGTTGGGCTCTGCTTTAGGATATTGGGATGGTGAGTGACATGTTACATCTCAGTAATCTGATGAAGTCACACTGAGATGGAAACAAGCTGCCCAGATGCTGTTTTCTGGAATACAGTGAAAAATGCCCCTCTCAGCCATAGTAGGAAGAAAAAGTGAGATTATGAAATCAGAAATGAGATTATCCAGTTTTGTTTCAAACTCTTCCTCTGCTACCCCAGCCCCCAGAACTAAAGATTTTGCTGCTGCTGCTGCTGCTGCTTTCTTCTTCTTCTTCTTCTTCTTCTTCTTCTTCTTCTTCTTCTTCTTCTTCTTCTTCTTCTTCTTCTTCTTCTTCTTTAATTGCTTTCTTCAACACACAAAACAGAAGTTATTTATAGATATCTGTTAGCATTTCTATAGGGCTTTTAGTGCAAAATGCTATGCAAGGTTTAATTCATTCATCATTGCACGGAGCTGGTAAATTGAAATTGCACAATGAGATAGTTTAAGAAGCTGTAAAAAGCCCACAGTTCTGGTTGAGACCAAATACCTTAAGTTGTCAAATCTCTTGAGTGCTATATCACATTGGAACACACTGTGTATTGGGGCGGTGGTGGGGAGGGAGAGAGAACTATAAGTGGACAAATGGGATCACTTCCCCTAACAGCACTGCTCCTGTTTACAGAGCCAGCCATCCATTTCTTCCTCTGGGATACTTCAAGCTATTTGGTGCTCAAGCAAGCCAGATTATCATCTCCTCCCGCCCTGCTTTTCTGTTTTTCCTTTTCCAGTTGACAGACAACATTCCATGGATCTTGGCGACCACGGGCATTTTGAGTCCCCATTGAGCTGTTTGGGACATGGGGGGCGGGGAGGTTGTCCCCATTGGGTTTGGTTTTTTTTTAAGGGTCTGTTCTTGGTTTTTTAGTGATTTTTGTAGACTGGGGTTCTACTATTCCCAGACATAGTGATGCCTCCTCCTTGTTTCTCAGTGGCTGGTTTGTCTTCGATCCTGTTGGCATGGGGACACTAAGTTCATTATTTGAGGAAGTAATGATGACATGTAAATCCACAAGTGCACCTCTATGCTCTGCTCTGCTGCCCTGGCTACAAGGCTGCTTCATGTTGTTCCTGAGATTCTGGCTTCCTAAAATTCTTTGGCACCTCTGGCGTAATGATTGTGAGAATGCACAGA